GAAAACCAAAGACCAGCGCTGCTTGATGATGTTCACTATTCATCAAAGGTTACTACCAACCCCCTGCTAATCCGCTCTGCCTCCCGCGTGGCAGGGGTCTGTGCCCACAGGCCCCCAATCTGCAGGCAGAGACCCCGCAAAACCCACCCACCTCCTCGCGATTCAAAGCAGATAGCACCTCCCCATACTCCTCATACAAAAACACCACCTCCCACCACGATACTGTTTTTGCTAACAAGGGGATTACCCCACCTCCCGCGTGGCAGGGGCCAAAATGCCCCGCGAAACCCACCCACCTCCTCTCGACTTAGGGTAAACCCCTCCCTCGATTCTGCATACACCCCCTACGGATGCTTCACCGCCCTCCATGACGAAGCCCCGGTGGGATGATGCTCACCATACAACCGCAAAAAATTTAGATGACAACAGGACACCAGCGTAGACGGATAAAATGAAGCCCAACCCTATTTCAACATCTCAGCGGTAATACCCTACTTCCCGCTCGGCAGGGGTCGAAGACCCCGTAAACCCACCCACCCCCTCGCGATTTAGGGAAAACCACTACCACTAATCTGCGCCGTTTCACAAAGAAACACCACCGCCCACCATAATGGCGATTCTACAGAACGACACTCTCTTACTCATCTTATCGCATGCAAAGAACGGTACACTAAAGTTGCATCAAATCACAACAGCTATTATCCAACAAAGAATAAGAAAAACACCGGAAAACGCACATATGACCTCAACCCTAATCTTATAAAACCACTGACTCACTCATACATACACTCTCTCAAAGCCCTAAAACGGGCCACAACAGGTGAACGCTCCGGAGTCAAGAAGTCGATGAGCGCTCCTGGAGATCGTAAGCAAAACTGTGCGTTGAACGTGGGATGTCCCGCAACAATCTCCTTACTCCTGTCGCCATCACATTCACGGGCTGACCCTGACAAGATGTCAGGGCAGGAGACCCCCGCAAAAACCTCCGTATCAGAGACCGTGGGGCATAGCCTCCGATCAGTCTCGTCAGGTATAGTGCAACATCTTGATCCCACCCGCCGATGGCCCCCACATATCGCTCTCTCCTTCCTTCACCGAACTAGGATTCTGGACGAAGTCAAGTGAGACCAGTAATGACCAGGAGCATGTCACGGCTCCCTCGACACCCCCCCCAAACACCGCCGTGTTCCTCCCTGCGCCGCCATGGTCACCCCTACGCCAAGTTCTGGCAATCGGAGCAGACAGATTTCGTCAACCCCGTACGCGATCCCCCAACGCCCGAATACTGCTTCTGGGGCGGCGCGTTAGCGCAACGTTATTATATTATGTTTATTTTTTATTATTTTTATTATTTTATTTTTCATTTTAAAATTTTTATTCTCTATTTTTTAATTTTAATTTTAATTTTTTATTTTTAATATTTTATTTTTTATATTTTATTTTTTATTTTAACTTGCTAAATTTTAAATTTTATTTTTAAGAAATTAAAGGTTATTATTAGTTCTTACTTTAAATTTTAATTTTTATTTTAAGTTAAAAATTTACTTTCTTTTTTTAAAAAAATTGTGTATTTGTGTGTGTGTGTGTGTGTGTGTGTGTGTGTGTGTGTGTGTGTGTG